TGAAGGAGAGTCTTCTTTTTCTTTGTATGCACAACAGTTTCAATTTATTAAAAACAAAAACAAAAAAACCCATGAGTATGAGGCCAGCAGGTGATGTCCTGTTTAAGGTGTTGGACTCCCACATGGATGACCACAGTTTGAGTCCTGGACCTGGTAGTTTGAAAATCACGCTGGGCACATGTGCATGAGGGCCCAGAATCTCAGGAGGAGGTTGGAGGGGAAGGGATTGCAGCTTGACAATACCCCCCCAGGGGGTGACTTCTCACTTTCCCTTTCACTGTCTCTCTCCTTTCCAGTAAGTACACACGCCCTATAGCAAAAACCTAAATTAAAAAAAAAAGGTGAACATATATTTTTTTATAATCCATCTTAAATAATTACAGTAAAAATTTAAAAAGTCCTACCAGGGGGCCAACAGGTAGCATAGTGGTTAAGGTGCTAGACTCCTACATGGTCAACCATGGTTTGATGCCCGGGTCCAGCAGCTTGACACTCACGCTGGGCACATGTGTGTGTGTGTGTGTGTGCCCAAAATCCCGAGAGGATAATGCAGGAGAAGGGATTGCGGCGTGGCCAACTCCCCCACCCCTCGGGGGGGGATTTCTGGCTTTCTGTCTCTCTGGTAAGCACACATGTCGTATAGCAAAAACCTTTCCAAAAAATATTAATAATAAATACATAAATACAAATTTTAAAAAAGGAGTTCTTCCCCACCCAAAGATCAAAATGCTTGCCTATATTTACTTTAAATTCATGTGGCTTTAAAAAAATTATGTTTGAATAGCTCACACAGGATTACAGAATGGAGTATGCGTCTAGAGTTTGCTGCAATGCATAATTATTTCTTTTTAAACTTTTTTAGACAAGATCTCGGTACATCATGATCCTCCTGCCTCAGCCTCCCAAGTAGCTGGGGGCACAGCTGTGCACTGTTTAGAATGGGCCAAGAATCTAACTGGGGCCTTCCGTGTGTCTAATTGGCACGCCCTAGCACCACCAAGCCAGGACGTTTTTTATCAAGAAAACAAAACAAAGAAATTTTGTAGAAAACCTAAGAAAGGATAAAGAAGAAAATAACCTAGAGATAAAGTAACTGGTAACCTAGAGAAAACCTCAATTTTCAGAAAACCTTTCTGGGACATTTCCTGCAAAACACAGGTGCCCTTGAGGAGTGGAAGCTGGATCCTTGTCATAATTTTGCTGGTGTTTGATGCCAGTTGACGGGTGGGAGGGGTAGTCTGGCAGGTTTGACTTCCTTTGTTTGGGAAACCCAGCAGCAAGGGCCTTGCACAAAAAGTAGGCAAACATTCACCCTTTGTTCTCAAAGAAAACCGCGAGGCCACCTTAATTCTGCAAACAGATGTTACAAACTGAGATAGGAAGTGTGCCTTAATGAGGATCAAGTGGTCTTTTAGCCAAATCCCTTCTTGAGGTGCAAGAAGAAATCAGATTCCTGGGAGTGTCTTTATTATTTTTTTAAGAATTATTTGTTTCACTTTATTTATTATTATTACTTAAACATTTGACCAGAGAGAGAAAGGAAAAGTGATGAGAAAGCAAGTTGCCAGGCCTGGGACTTGAACCACGGTTGGCCATGTGGGAGTCTAGCACCTTACCCACCATGCCACCAGCCAGTCCCCCTGGGAGGGTCTTTAAACTCACCTGAGTGCTGCTGACCCCAAGAATTATTTCCGATGGGAAATTCGGCTGGTGGGAACACAGTTCTGTGGGCTGTGAAAGGCTCCTCTAGACTCAGCTCCCTGTACTACATGCTGGGGAATCAGGAAGGACAACGTCCCACCTTGGGGTGGTTGGTAAGGAAGGGCTGCCTCCAGACCCTGCCCTGCTGATGCTAGTGACCCTGGCCTGCCAGCTGACAGCAGGGCCTTTCTCCAGCCAGCTCCTGCTACCCTGGGAGCCAAGGCGGTATCTTGCATGCAAACACTGGAGAACAGGGCCTGGCAGTAGTCATTAGACCTTGGTGAGACAAACGTGGATGGTTTCAGCTTGGAAGAGGCAGAGGCAGATTCAAATCCACCATGACAAACTCCTCAGAAAGGAAATGACAGACATCTCCTGCAGGCCAACGGTTCTAAGAAATGAGGTAATCAACTAGGTTCAAGGAGAGAAAAGGGCTTGAGGAACCAACAAAGGCAGGAGAAAATGCATACTCGATATTTGGAGCCCACATAGCAACAGACAGAGATTTGCAGCTTGGTAATATCACACATCAGCCCAGAAAGGCAGAAAGGACATGGGGTAGGAACCTGAACTAAAGACAGAGGTAAGGAATCTGGATCCAGGCCAGCTGCATAGCTTAGTGGTTAAGGCAGCTGAATCCCACATGGCTGACTCCTCAGTTTGACTCCTGGTCCCAGCAACTTGAAAAACATGTGTGCATGTGCATGTGCCTGTGCCCCAGATCTCAAAAGCGTGGAGAAATGGAGAAGGGGTCACGGCGTGATCATGCCCCCTCTCTTTGGCAAGCACACACGCCCTCTGGCAAAACTAAAAGAAAACTGGATCCTGACTTTGATGAAATAAAACTGATCTAACTTGAACCTCCTTCTAAGTCTTGTTGATTTCTTTAATGACGGCATTAAACAAGGGAAACAGGAGATAAGAGTGGCCAGACGCAGGAGGTAGGAAGAGCAGCGAGGGAGGAAGTCTGGCTGAGAGGATCCCTTACTCTTTCGTAAATGAGGAAAACCAAGGTCCGGAGAAGAGAGGCAACTTCTTGGTTAAAACCAGACTCAGTGGCTAGGACTCATTTTTATTTTTTTAAGAATTATTTATTCTATTTAATTTAATTAATTTATTTATTTGATGAGAGAGAGAGAAAAAAAAAAAGCCACCAAGTCCAAGACTCGGACCATAGTCGGTCATATAGGAGTCCAGTGCCCTCAACCACCACACCAACTTCCAGCCCCACCTAGGACTCTTATCTAGTGCTCTCCCACTCTGTCCACGAAGAATGATCTACAGGTCAAACAATGTGGAGATTAAAGTCCAGGCAGAGAAAAGCAAAGCTACTCCAAAAGGAACCATGCGTATGAGGCTCTGTCACTTTGCAGTCCTGGGAAAGCGTGGAACCAAGGTTCAGTCATCGAACCAGACTCATTAAGTCATTGAACTTAAGGCTCAACGTTTTCATCTGAAGGATGAAATGATGCTTCGTGGGTAGGGCTGTGGTGGGAATGAAGGATTCTGAGGCTGCAATATGGTAGGTGTTTGTCCTAATTAGGAAGTGACCTCACTGCACCGGGGGCACACTGAGGGCTGGAGATGGGGCTAGGAGTTAGTATAACAGGAGGTGCTGTTGATCCGGTCACGGGACAGCCCAGTGTCCAACGGTGTACCTGAGTTTGGAATGGGCCCAGAAATATTCCCTGCACAGGCACCCCAGCTCTGCTCGGCAAGCATGCAGAGCCCACGCAGGGTGGGACACGCTCAACACATGTCTACAGGGCCCCCACCTCCCATGCATAAACTGTCCAGAGTCCCAACCCCAAGTCCAGGGGTTCCAAGTGTGCACAGCACCCAGGTGGCCTCCAGAACTCTCTGTGACGGGGAGGTAGCAGGTGTGGGCTATTCCAGGTGGGTGCTCTGGACAAGTCATGCCACACCCTGTAAGCAGGGCAGGAAGGCCTCCTACGTGTAATCTGGCAGGCCAGTGTGAGATGAGACGGGTCATTATCCAGCTCCACGCACAACAGGAGGTCCTAGGGCAGAAGGCCACAAGCACATGGCCTCCTTGTGCCACATGAAGAATCGGAAATAACTCCAGACCCTTCCGTACAGCCTTTCTTGTCCTCTTCCCCCTAAACTGAGAACTTTAGAGAAGGGGAACTTCTGGTTGAAATTTGAGGTATAAGGAGAAACAACAGGCCAGCTGGTAGCATGGTGATTAAGGTGTTTGGATCTCACATGACTGACTGCGGTTTGAGTCCTGGATCCGACGGCTTGAAAAACACGCCAGGCACAAGTGTATGTGTTTACCAAATCCCCAAAGGGGGGAGAAATAAAAAAGGGATTGTGACTTGGTGACCATGTCCTATGGGGAAGGGGTGCTTTCTTGCTCCCCTGCCCCTCTGTCTTTCTGTTTCTGGCAGCACCCATGGCGTGGTGGTTAAGGTATCTGGATCCCACGTGGTCAACTGTGCAGCTGGAGTCCTGGACTTGTAGGCTTGAGAAACATGCCAGGCACGTGTGTGTATGTGCGCTCACGTGTGTGCCCAAAATCATGAGTGGAGGGAGAAGTGAAGGGACTGAAGCATGACATTCCCCATGGGGAAGGGATGCTTTCTTTTCTTTTCTTTTTTTTGAGAGGTTTTTGCTATAGGGCATGTGTGCTTGCCAGAAAGACAGAGAGACAGAAAGACAGAAAGCGAGAAATCACCCCCCCAGGGGGGATGGCCATGTTGCAATCCCTTCTCTTCGCTTCTCCTCTCGGGATCTTGGGGATGCACACACATGCACCTGGTGTGAGTTTAAGCCACCGGGTCCGGGACTTGAACCGTGGTCGACTACATGGGAGTCCATTGACATAGCCATTACGCCAACTGCTGGTCCCCAGGGGATGCTTTCTCACTTTCTCTCTGTCTCTGGAGAAGGTACAAACCCTTGACAAAATTAAAAAAGAAAAAAAGAAAAAGAAAGTGGCAAAAGACTGAAGCCAAGCTGGGCCTCGTTTTACTCTGGGGCAACGGGAGGCACAGGCTGTTAACCACCCGCTCTCCAGCACCTGTGAATGCCTGTGCCAGCTGGCACACGTGGAGGCTCGAGTGCACGCCCTCCATCCTCCTCCTACCACCCTTTCCAAGGGGGTGCTCAGCCTTCTGCCTTGCTCATGCTCTGGGCCAGGGGAGTCTCCCCAACCTTCAGTTACCTGCTAGAGAGATGCCCACTCTCCTAGTGGGGGCTGCCTTCGAAGAGACCTGGGAGTCCCTCAGTCTGGCACCCGTACAGTGCCCTCCCACACAACAAGCCAAAGTCCAGGGTAGGAGGGACCTCCATGTTTTATTAGGGATACGGTAGAAGCAGAGGCTGGAAGCAGAGCAGCCGCGTTTGAACAGATAAATTAACCGCAGTGTGGGAATGGGGGTACGGACTGGGCCAGGCGCTTTAATAAAAAACAAAAACAAAAACAAAACAACCAAAAAGACAGACAAACAGACCCCCAAGACATGGGGAAGGGGAGGGCAGCACCATCCAGACAGCAGGAGGGACCAGGGCAGAGAGAGAAGGCAACTTGTCCCCCTTACCCCAAGCTCCACCGGCATGGGGCCTCCGGAATGGCCCCATGGGGGCCTCAGGGCAGGGGAGCAGCCAGGTTGGGCAGAGATGGCACAGCTGGTGGGCAGGAAGCCCAGCACCACAAGATGGCTCGGCCTGAAGCAGGAGCTGGGGACTGGGACCCAGTGGCCTTGAACCCCAGTCCCTTAGAGGAAGAGCCTCACTCTGGGCAGGAGGAGGGGCCTCGGTGGGGTCTCTCCCTGAGCTGAGCACGGTCACCTCATCCAGAGCAGCGGCGAGCAGTGGGGTATGCCAGGGACCCCCTTCACCTCTTTATCCACCTGCCTCCTTGGTCCTTCCAGAGAGGGGCCCTGTTGGCTCCGAGGGCTGGTCCAGTCTGTGGTCCCCAAGTCCAGAGGGGGACGTGGTGTGGTGCAGCCCCTTAGCCCTGACTCCCACAGGAGGAGAGCGAGTCATAGAGTGAGTCACTGAGAGACTCTGAGGTCTCCAGCCCTGGAGGGCCCCCACTGGCCACTCTGCCTTCCTCGCCCATGTCCGAAGTGCTGGGGGTGCGGCTACCCCCAAATGCTGGGCCCGGGGGCGTTGGGGCTGGGCGGCTGGGCTCCAGGCTCCGCTTCCGGTCCACGGGCAGGGCCTGGCAAAGGAGGGGCAGCTTGGGAGGAAGGTCCTCTCCAACTCTTGGCCCAGTTGGAGAGCCCTGGGCCTGTGGGTGCATTCTGCCCACTCGAATGGGGTACTAGAGAGGGGGCCTTCAGAGGAGGGGTGCACTTCAGAGGAAGTGGGCAGGAGGTATCACTGAGCAAGGCTTCAGGGAGGGCTGAAAACCTCGCCCCTGAGAGGTGTGTAACAAGGGCAGGTTAGGGCTGCCAGAAGGGGGCCCAGGGGGTACTCCCTCGAGCCTCCTCCCAGACAGTGTGGGAGGAGGCCATGCAAGAGCCAGGCTTTACCTCACTAAAGGAGATGGTCTCCCTGTGCTGTTTCCCCTGCCCCCCAGTCCTGTTCCCTTCCCTTTCCCAGTTCTCACCATGGAGGTTCTGGGCAGTCCCTCCAATTGTCGGGGTGGGCACAGGTAAGGGTCGGCGGAGCTGCTGGCTGTCCTGGTGTTGGGGAAAGTCCAGTTCTTGGCCAGCTGGACAGGAGGGGGAGGGCCTGGGTCTTCGCAGGGATCTGACCAGGAACAAAGGGAGGGTGCACGGAGCCAGCTAGCTCCCATGGAGCTCCCAGGACACATACACCCCTCCCTCCCAGCTGGGCACTCACCATCGGTGCAGGTGGGGTGGCCCCGGTGGCCAGGAGCAGCGGTGAGCAGCGCGGGAAAGGCTGGCATGCTGGGGTGCCGCCCGCTCACCAGCAGCTCCTCAATGCCCGGCACTTCCCGCTCCAGCGTGTGGGCGCGGCGCGGTACTTTGGTAAGGGGTGGTGGTCGAGATGGGGGTACTCCAGGTGGGGGCTCCAGCCGTGGCGGCTTGGTCTTGGGAAGGTTCTTGCTGGGGGTCCCACTGCTGCCATGGTCTGGAGGTGGGAAGGTCCCAATGCCACTGTCCAAGGTTCGAGTCAAGGATCCACAGGCTGGGGAGGGGAGGGCACAGCTCAGCCCTCTGCCTGCTTCCTTGGCTCCGTCCCAGCCCAGGATCCACCCCCACCTGCCCTGGGCTTGGGGAGGGGCGGGGAGGGAGATGATCAGGTAGGTCCCCAAGGGCAGTGTGGGGTGTACTCTGTGTAGCCCTCATGCCCACTTGGTGCCTGGTGCTTGCTGTGGGGACAGGAAGGAGTACTGCAGGTGGGGGAGCGGGCCCCACACTCAGCCCCAACCCTGCTGACCTGTGAAGTGTGCGGTGGGCACTGGCTCAGCCAGGCCGTCCTCGGTGGGCAACTCTTCCCGCCTCCCTGGCTCGCTGCTCAGCTGTGTAGGGCACAGGCGACCTCACAGTTGGCTCCTATCCCCCTAGACCCTCCTCTTACCCCAGGGAGTAGGAAGCTGGTATGAGGAATGAGTATTAGGGCCTGGGAGTGTGGGTCTAAGGAGCCTTCTCCCCACCCCCCAGAGACATGAATGTATCCCGCAGCTCCAGGCCCCCAAGAAGGGCAGCCCTCCGGGAGGTAGGGCCTGGTAGGACCACAGAGCCAGGACCTTTTCTCCAAGAACTTACCTTTCCAGGTTTCCCACAGCCCTGAAGAGGGCCTACCAGGCCATTTCGGGGCCCACTGGCTGGCCAGGGGCTCTTGGGGGCAGAGGACACTGGCTGGAAATCTCCATACTCAGGCTTGGGCTCCCGCCAGCTCTTGGGCGGCAGCTCCTTGCCATCCACCCTAGGGGCAACCGGGAAGAGGGCAGTGAGTGAAGCACCCTCCACTGGTGCTGGCCGAGTGGGGTACTCACTGCCACTCAGCCCCGAGGAAGGGGACATACAGCTCTTCCTGCCACCCCCTCCTGACACTGCAAGAGCCAGGGACCATAGGAGAGAGCTCGGGGAAACAGCAGGTGCAGGGGAACAGCTGCGAGGAACTCCCCAGGCCTACCCAGGGTCAAGCCTTGAGACCACTTGACAACGCTTACGATAGACCAGCAGACCCAGGCAGGTCCTGGTCCATGAGGAACACACCCTGCCCGTTCCAGGGGGACTTCTGAGCACATTTGCCGTCCAAACCACACCCCCTACCTGGGGCCCAATCCCTGTGGATTTTCTGCCTTATCCGGCCCAGACAAGGCAACTACAGGACGGGTGAGTGCCTTCTCTACACTGCAGCTCCCACCGTGGTAGGTACCGAGGGGCTCCTTCCTTGTCCTTTCCCAAGGGAGAAGACCGCCGTCAGCCCATAACTACATCTAGTATTCACTTTACCATGTGCAGAGACCTCAGGCAGGCTACCTTATCTGACAGGGAGGCGATCCAGGAAAACACAGGCTGTTGACTCCTCTCAAGTGAGAGCTGTATCCTGGCCTGACATCAGCCACCGAGCAGGGAAGCTGGGATGTAAACCTGACTTCTGATTCAAGCTCCAATCTTTTTTCCAGGCCAGGTCACTCACTCCCAAATCCCTCTTATTTCTAGGAAGCCCGACCTCTCTGAAAAAGCTCCAGACCCAGGCACACTCAGAGGGAAAGTGGTCCCAGCCCTGAGGTACCCGCTGTCCAGCCTCAGGCCCTCACCTGTTGAGCAGCTGCTGCATGAAGGTATCCGCGCCCTGGTACATGCCGGCCAGCTGGCCCTGCACCTGCCCCAGGCCTGTGCTGGGCCCTGGAGCTGGGCCCCCGGGCCGCGGCCGGGCCCTGCTGCTCAGGTAGGCCTTCTCCTCCTCCAGGGCCCGGCGCAGGTCTTCTGCCTTAGCCATCAGCTTGGAGATATTGAGGCTCTCAGCTTCCAGCTTCCGGGCTTCCATCTTGACCTCCTTCCGGAGTGGGGAGCCCCCGCTGGCCCCTTCCTTGGTCTTGGTGGCCTCTGTGCGGCGGTTCAGTGCCGGCAGCTTGCTCTTCTTAAGGCCGAACCAGCTGGCGATGCTGCTGGTGTTACGGTGCTTGGCCTCGGTGCCCGGCGCCCGTTCCTGGCCCTGGAGTCGCAGCACATTCTCCTCGATGCCCTTCATCACCTTCTCCTCGATGGCTGAGTGCGGGGCTGGCCCCTCGGGGCCCTGGCTCGGGTCAGTGGGGCCAGGTACTGGGAGTGGGGGCTGGGCTGGGGTGCCACCACAGTCTGCCCAAGGCAGACCCTTCCCCTTGTCGGGCTTGGGGGGCTCCTTGGTGACTGGGGGTGCTGGAAGTCGGGGTACTACCTTGGTGGGTGACTTGGATGGCAGCTTGGTAGGGCTACCATGAGGGCTCTTGTTAGGCTTGCCCAGGCTGGGGGCTGAGGTTGGCACTTTGGCAGGTGTACGGGGTACCTGGGGGCATAGGGCCCCTGCCAGCCGGCTCTTGGGCAGCTCCACTTTGGCGAGGC